ACAAAAACAGATGACAAACATTAAAATAGCGAAAGTAAAATACATTAGTCATGATTTAAAACTGAAAAAAGTTTGGTCCTAGGTTCATATAAATGTTTTATTGCATGGTACTTAATGTATTAAAAAAGTTTTGTAGTGTACTTTAAATTTTTATTCAATAAAATATTGTTCTTAGTAGCTGTTTGATTTAGTCACATCATGTAATCTGCCATTTGGATGGACAAATTTACTAGGCAGTTTATGAACATAGAAAACTTTCTTGACGACATTGTGCATCTTTATTAAATAGTAAATTAATATGAATCAAATAGAATATTTTATTTGTGAATTAGAAATTTATGTTATGAGATCATTATACAAATAAATAATATAAATAATAATGCTATATTGCTGAACATTTATCCTTCATTATACTTTGATAGCTACTTTTTTCTTACTGAATTTAATATTTTAATATTAAATTCAAAAGCATTAAATTTCATAGATTTTGTAAAGACTGTGCAATAAAAGATTACAGTTTGCTGTTTTTATAATAATGCATGAAATAAGAAATATACAAAGATTTTTTGCTTGAATGAATACAGAAAAATATTTACAAAAAAGGAAATCTCATTTGTTGTATTGATTAGACCAGTGTTTCTCAACCTCTAACAAATCGTCGCCCCCCTTCAACGTAGTATCGCCCCCTTCACTTCAAAATTCTGATGCTGAGGGCCAGGTCTAACGCCAAATTCGTACTGCATTGAATAGACTAGTGACTAGTATAATGTTATTTGTTTAATTATTGTATGATATAACGAATAAAATAACTAATTAATCTTAATATAATGTTTTACTATATCGCCCAGAAAATTGTTTTTCGCCCCTCAAAATATAAATTGTTACAAATCGCCCCTCAACATGGAAAAACGCCCACATGGGGGCAATATCGCCCCCGTTGAGAAACACTGGATTAGACCCACAAGTATCTGAAAGACATAGCAGTAAAGAGTAATGCCCATAAAAATGTATGGTATATAAATTATTAAATGTAGTAATTAGGTTATAAATACATTTTAAAAAATGTACATATTTATTCTGAATTATTCTGTTGTATAGGTTTCTATTAAAAGATGGACAACTATGGCTATGTGCACCTCAAGCAAAACAAGCAAGTATTATTACTGATATGTTACTTATAGGAAATCCAAAAATATATAAATAAGGTTACAAAAACTAATCTTATTTTGAAAAAGAAAACTATTATTGTGAATTTTATTAACTTGTAATTTTACATTTAATTTTAATATTGAACTTAAAATTAATTTGTAGATTGTTTTGTTGATAAATTATATTAATTTTATCTAACATGATGCTTTAGACTTTGTTTATATAAAATGAAATCAGATGATTATGGTAAAGTAATTTAAAATAGCAGACTTCAGAAGAAATTTGTAAAATTATAAAAATATAAACATTAGTATAAGAAAAATTTTAGAAAGTACTGAAAAACCATTATAAAATATTAACTGTTAAATAAATTATTATGATTTTAGCAGTAGCAAATATTCTTAAATCATTACTAAAACTGTATAAAAATTTTCCTATAGAAAATAATAATATTTTTAATTGCTAATGTTTTAGTTTACAGAATGCTTTTATTAGTTTGGATATAGTTTGTATAAAATGGCAAAAACAGTCTATTTAAAAATTATCAAGACTAAACCTCTAAAAATGTTTAAATAGTTTGAAGACAACAAAATTTATTATATAATAAATGTGTTTCAGAACTTACATTTTTCATTTACTTATTACCATTGTTATAAACAAAGAAAATAGAATTAAAAATTAATTTTAAATCAAATTTAAATTTCATTATAGCATGTTCCTGTTAGAGTGCAGTGAATGCATTGAGTATTGTTAATTAATCAAGCATACAGTCACTCACTGAAATTAAAATTAATTTTAAAAAAAACAACAAAAAATACTTGTATATGTTGAAACTATTGAAATGTGGACATAAGGAATGTATAAATATGGTAGATAATGTTTTAAAACTCTAGGTATGTTAGGATCTATATTTAAGGGTTTGAGTGATAGACATTTCTTCTTATTAATTTAATGGTTTTTAGATTATTATGATCTTGAGTTCTTTTGCTGTTATAATTACTGATTGTATTAACTGAAGTTCACAATGTATGTGATAAACTTTTTTATTATAAACAGTAAAAACTGCTTAGGCAACCACCTGCATTCGATGGACACCTGTCAAAATGGACAAAAATTTCTGGCATGGAATAGTTTATACATAGAGTCTTTGTATAAGTTACTTGTATTAAACAACCACCTGTGTAATGCAACTGCAGGCATCGATTTTTGGTCCAAAACAACATACAACAACTGTAATAAGCGGCCACTTCTGCAACTATATCTNCGAAATCAATGAAAATTGCCAAACATATAAACAATCTAAAACTGCAAATATCTACCTACTTTGATCCTCGGAGTTCGAAAATAGGTTTATTAAATAACAATTTATAGGTACTTACACTTATAATTATTATTTTAACGCTAATTTTTAAATAATAAAAGCTATAAAATAGATAAATAATAAAATAGGTAATTTATTGACTATATATTTTAATAAAAACACTTTCACGATAATATCCAACAGTAGTACTTAGTTTCTTTTTTGACAATTCTTATTGACTTCAAAAAAGTAGTTAGGTATCTTATTTGGAAAAATATATGTATAGTATGTATTTTAAAAATATAATAATTGTTATGTTACCTACCTTTACTTCGTTTTTTTAATATTATTATTATATATATGTACAGTACATACATAACTTTGAGAAGATAATTCGCTTCTAACTCTTTCACTCGAAACAACAAACTATACGTCACAGCCAAAGCACTGGTGAAGACGCCAAATTGTCTTGCGTCGAAAGCGAATTAAACCTCATAGAAACATCCGACAACGGCGTCATTCAAGAGCTTCCGACGGACTGACGGCAGTGACGACGCATGTCACGGGGGAGGGATGCAGTGAAAAGCGAGTACAAGTGGCTGAGAGATAGAATCGGTGCCTAATCTTCGTTAATTGATTCAGAACGATTTTAAAATTATTATTATTTTTTTTTTATAAAATAAATAATATTTGTGTATGGAACTAAAGAGCCACAGCTTCACATCCAAAGAGCCGCAGGTTGTTGACCCCTGGTCTAAACTCTTGTTCGAACCCACCTTGGGCACTTTTCCCATCATTGAAATTAGATACAGGTGTTAATGAATTAGTCTAGCTACAAAGGAAATTCACTTCAGTTTGTTCGACAATGTCAGAAAAACAAAAGAAATGTGAAGTGCTATTGTTAGAAGATCGTGCCATGCAAAATACATATTCAAGAAAACAATAAATGCATTAACGCAAAAATCAGTTTTACGGGCAACCTTCGTTTTTCGATTCTGCGATTATCATTGATGTAATGAAATCATATTATGAGAAGAAATAATAAAATAATTTTATTGTTAATTAATAATTTTTCTTATTGTATTTAAAAAAATATAGTATTTTTAAAGTTAAAATAAGATTAAACTAATGAAAACCAAAGTGGTGGAGATATGACACGTTTCTATATCAATGACATAATACATGTAACTGAGGAGCGAAAAAAGAGAACCAAGTTGAAGTAATTAAGTTGGAAGAAGTGCATTATAATTGAGAAAATGTGAATACTATATTAATTTTTAAAATATTTGGTGTTAAATCTGTCTTATAAAATCATGGTGACTTTTGTTAATTGAGTTATCTGATAAGAATAAAATACCAATAGAAGTCTTTCAAAACATTTGCTTATTTTTGCTCACCTTGTGTTTTGCTTAGTACAAATGGCTAAAAAGTGCACAAAATATGTGCAGAAATACAGTATTACAGCACCACTTGTCTAAAAGACCACACTTTTTGAAAGGAACCATGTGTGGTTGACACAGACAGGTTTTACTGTACATAGTTCATAGTTTAATACACGTGTTAAAAGTCATATATATGACTTCTTATTATATATATATACATACTAGGTGTGTGTGGCAAAAAAGTAATGAAATTGGCATCAATGACATAACAACACTGCCGACTTCCCTTTCATGTAACTTGTACTTCAGTCCTTCCTAGATGCTCAGTATCAGTTTCAATTTCATGTGGTAACTATGTGATCCTAGAGAGCATGATAAGTAAAGTATTGTTTTTGTATTGCATTACAGAAAATGGAATAACGAAATTTGGAGCAACAGTGTACCATCAAATTTTGTGTTAAGCTTGGTGAACCCATGAGTTTGACCTACGAAAAGTTGTAATGAGCCTAAGGGAAACATTCCTTATGAGTTTTTCGGTGGCACAAAGCAGTTTTTGGAGGGCCTAGAAGCAGTAAAAGATAAACCTCACTCAGGAAGGCATTCAACGTTGAGAACTGCAGAAAGCGTGGAACGAGTGACGGCTCCTTGAAAGAGTCAGAAAAAGGATGTTTCTAGTCAGACAGGACATTGCGAAAACTTGGATGCTTCACCATGACAACGCCTCTTGTCACACAGCCATTTCCATCAACCAGTTTTTGACAGATAAAGAAATTTCTGTGGTTCACCAGGTCCCCTATTTGCCTGATCTCAGTTCGTGTGACTTGTTTTTGTTCACCAAGATCAAAATCTATTTGAAAGGATGTCATCTTGGTACTGTCAATAACATCCAAAGGAGTGTAACCATAGAGTTGCAGGCAATTCCAGTTGAAGCCTTCCAGCATTGTTACAAAGACTGGCAACAACACCTCTGCCAAAATATAGCTGTTCAAGGGAACACTTTAAAGGGGGGATAACATTAATGTATAAAAATAAAATAATAAAAATTGTTGCTAAAAAAAAATGTTCATTACTTTTCTGCCACACCTTATATATAACATTTATTATCTTTATAGTAATGATAATAATTTATATTTATTTTTAATAATAAGTTTTTTTTTTTAATTTTTCAGATATGGAATTGTTTAGCTGAAAATGCTGTATATACAACTGATAGAGAAGCTTGTTTTAAATGGTTTTCTAAGGTAAATAACTTTGTTAGCGATTAAAAAAAACATTAAGTTCAGTTATTAGCATCAGCATAATAGTACAGTACATAACATTTGAAAATATGTAGCAAATATCGGGTGCATAAAAGTTTCCACCATTGGAAGGAGAAATGAGACACGAATTATCAGGAAACCAAAACACATTTATTTATCTAAATATTGACTATTAGCATCAATGACCTTTTGCCATTTTTCTCACAACAAATGAATGTCCCTGTGATAAAAGGACTTGGTTTTGAGCTGAAGAATGCAGAGATGAAATTTTCAACATCTGCAAATGTGGTGAACTGCTGTTGGAGAGAAAAACTGATGAAAGTCTGAGAGAGTAAGCCAGGTGTAGTAGTTCCACTTTAACTGATTGAGGGTTGCTTTTGTGATGGTACTGATGTGGTCTGGCATTGTTGTGTAACAGGATGATTGGGCGATGTCCTTTACCTGTCTATGGGCATTTTTGCTTGATTTTGGCATTCAGTTTCTTCAACTATCATTGTACTGTTGTTCAGTGATTGGTTTGCCCAATTCATCAGTTTGAAACACAGCTCTCCATGCATATCCCACTTCAAATACAACATCTTTTTCCTGTGGATATCCTGTTTTGTAGATGTTGCTAGCCTGAGTTAACCCAGGATTGCTTGCATACTGGGTTGTCGCAATAGATATTTTTCATCTCTGGTAATTACCTTCCACAAGAAATTCTTCTGTTGAAACTGCTGCAGAAACATGAGTATGCCCAATTGTTTCCCAATATGATGCTCCGTTAAAATATGCAGACCCACTTACTAATCTTCTGGGTCATCTTCAACGTCTGTAGATGCCATACAACTGTCAATTGATCAACTTTCAATCATTTCACCAGTTATGTGACATCCTCTTCCAACAGCACTTCAAGCACTTCATCTGTGAATTCCTTCGGTCTACCTGCACTTGGCTTCTATGCTTGGATGACCTTTCCTAAACTTGGCAAACTGTTCTTGGCACATTTGCTTACCAATAACCAAATTGCCATATGCCTGAATATTGAACTGTAAGCTTCACTTTCACTTTTCCTTAAATTAAACATGAATAACAAACAGTGGCAGAAATGAACTTTATTGATCGTCATGCTTGGCATCATGGCAATTTTACATAGTCCGGTGCACTTGCTGATCTGACACCTTTTTGTGCAAAGACTAGCTGGATTAACAAGAGTCTAGTGTATTTACAAACAATGTTTAGTATCTGTTTATATAATATGTATGTATGTTACACATATACATATATAATTTAATGTAATTATTGAATTTTTAGTTTTATTTTAAATTTTATTAATTAAATATACAATGCATTAGAATGAATCAGAATTTAGAAATTTCAACAATTTACTGAAAAACTACTGTTACTGTTTTAAAATTTAAATAACAATATACAACTATAATTTATGTAATTAGTTTCGGTAGTTATTTTTAAAAGTAATCAAAAGTATTTTATAATTATTATGTTTTTTTTTTACTTCATGTTTTTGTTCTTTTTGTAATATGATAATTTTTAGATTTATCTCTTAAATGTAAATTATTATTTGCATCTTTTCTAAATCCCTACTACATTTTAAAACTGATAAAATTATATAAATTCTTTTGTTAGTTAATGGGAGAAGAACCAGATCTTGATCCTGATATAAATCAAGATTTTTTTGTAAATAATATTCTACAGTTGGACCCTTGTCTAATGACTGAAAATGGTATAAGGTAATTTTTTTTTTGTTATCTTTATTTTTAAAATAAAAAACTTATTATAGGTTGTTTGCTATAGATTTAAACTTTTCAGGAATTACCTTCTCAAAAATATTATATTTATTTACTAGGCTAGCAAATATATACAGTAGAACCTCGATTATCCGGACTAATTGGGGATGAAGGTAGTCCGGATAAGGAAAAATCCGGATAATCGAAACAAATACTTTAATTTGTCTTTTAATGATAATACAACACGTTTTCTTTTCGATGACATATCGGTAATATTAAAAGTAAATACTGTATTTAAATCGTGATCAAATTTTCAAGAAACAAACGTTCGTATTGAATTTGGACTACTACTGACCAACGCTAACAGACTACCTATTGTTTAAAAGGCCCTCTGGTGGCGCAAGAAGACGGATTTTATAAAATAAAAAGCAGTTGAAACTGCATTTTTATGAATAAAAATTTGACAAACTATTTATCGTTTTATGACGAGTAAAATTTTTTCGTCGCGTTCGCGGCTTTTAAGTAATGCATAAACCTTCGAGGCGCGAGGCCCTTCGGACCGCGAGGCATAGGCGGTGGCCCACGTCGTCCATGCCTTACACCGCCCTTAATCATAGAAATGATGTAATTTGAATATAAATTATTTATAAATACTTATGTCAAGTTATATTTTTATTACTACATAAAATATATTAAGAGTTTATGACCACTGTGCTGGGTGAGACGTTGTTGAAACAAAAAAAGTTATGCATTCCATCACGTACATAAACAGTGTCGTAATTCGCCAAGTGCAAATCAGCAAATTCGTAAATTTTTGTTTATTTTGAACAATCCGGATAATCGAAAATCCGGATAATGGAGGTTCTACTGTATTATGTAATAGCTTATTAGCATTTCTAACAGCCACTTTCTTAAAAGTAACTATTTAATATATTTGATAATTATTGGTTTATATTGAATTACTTTTTAAATTATAATTACAGTTAACTTTTATAACATTTTAAAGTGTTTGTTGTTTTTATATTTATAAATGGTTTTATTTGGTTTTGTAAAGTGAAACAGTCTTTAAATGTAGTATTGTAATTAATAGTAATATAAGTTATTTTTATTCATGAATAATCTTTAAATATAATTTAATTATTTTCCATTATTTTTAATGTTTTTTAACAGTTATTCTTAGTTATTAATATTACTGTTATACAATTATCATTTATTTCTGATTAATTATTATTTATCTTTGCTCAAACTTTCAAAATATAATAGACTCTGCATTTTATAATTGTAAATAATAATATCAGTCAATTAATGATATCCAATTAACAGGCCAAAAGCATACTAGTTATATAATGTTATAAAAATTTCACTAATTGTAATCAAAATTTGGTAATTGTTATAATTATCTTTTGGTAAATAGGCCTTTTTGTTTTTGTATTAGCATCCTCTACATGTGTCTGGTAACATTCAATTATTTTCACTTATTGTTGTTGGTCTTAATCAGAAATTTGAAATTGTATTTTTTTAAAGATTTATATTGCAGAAGAGAAAAATGGAAGTGTATATTTTTGTTACATGATTAATTCTTTTGTATTTCTTCATTAATTGAAAAACTTGAGATACATTTGAATATTTTATCATCAAATATTCTGTTTGAAAGTTGATTTATAGGTGCTGTAAATTTTTAATAAACAGTATATTGTAAATTATGCAATTAGTTTATAATACAGGCAATTATGGCATGAATGGAATTTGGCATACGAGCAGAGCAAGTGGGCCAATTTCCATGAATGCCATAATCACTAATTATAAATGAGTTGTCATATGGTATTTTGTGGTTAGACTACACCTATAACACTATACTTATGGAACTCAAAATCATGTACAAACCACTATGTTTATACATGATTTTGAGTTTGAGTTTTAGGTCTAGTCAACCACAAAAGTATTTTCTGCTACTTAGTTGTTTTTTATTTTTATGAATATTTATTTCTTAATATAAAAAACATCATCTATATAGATACTTGTAAGATGATTATATTTATATATTTAAATTAATTAAATAATAATGTTATAGTTAATTCATTCATTCAGCATGAAAATAATTAAATTGTAATTTCATTATTATTAAATTTTTTGACTATACTTTTATGATAGGTGAAATTAATTTTTATATACTTTCAGGTGTTTTGATAGATTTTTCAAAGCTGTAAATTGTAAAGAAGGAAAATTATTAGCAAAACGTAGTTCATATTTAATGGATGATTTAGAATTAATAGGAATGGAATATCTATGGAGGGTAATTATCTATTTTGAATAATTATAATATAGTATAGTCTCAAGTAATCCAACATATATGGGAGCAGAACAGTGTGATATTGAAAATATTGGAAGTAAGGAGAATTCAATGGCACATCAATGAATTTGACAGCATGAAGTCAATTGTTAATGACACAGCAAAATACACATTGGACTACTGATCAAAATATCTTGAGTGCATGGCTGTCACCAGTAATAATGTTGCCAAGTTAGTGGATTACATTAGATTTAGTGGGATATGGAGTATTTTTGATGAGTTGTCTCAGGAAACTGATTTTTATTTTTATACAATATTGTGTTATAAGATACTGTGTGTTTTTTTTTTTTTTCAACAACCTAAGATAATGAGGCTAATAATCTTTAATATAATGCCACGTTCAGTGTGAAGGTATTTAAAATTTTGGGAACTGGAGTTTGAGCTAGTGGTACATTTGTTTACTTGACAATATGCCATTAATACCTGAGAGTCAACTAATATATGTGTTAAACTAGCAAATGACAGGATTACTGAGATTGTAATGTACTATTTGTTAAGCATTTTATTATGAACTTTGATCAAAATATTATATTATTACAATAAAGTAAATAAAATTATAAAATAAAATAATCAATATAAATTAAATGAACAGTTAGTTTAACAGTAAATGCATGTAATATTAAATTTAATACAGTTGTGCCTCATACTACAAATTAATTTTTACCATTAGAAATAATGGAAAGTGAATTAATCCATTCCCAGACTAAAACAATACCCATTTCATAAACTTAAAACAGCAAATACTCATAATTTAACATAAAAATATTAAAAATAAATGCTCTAACAATAAATTAAAATACAAATATAATAAATTAAATATGTAAATACTGTATAATAAAATGAAAATTGCATTAACAGATCACACATTGTTAACTTTGGCATCTTAAACTGGCCACCTGATCTGCCTCAAATGTACCACTTTCACACTTTGAAATAACATTATTTTTCACCTCAATCATGGCTATTTAAGCCTTCCTCTTAGGCTTTGATGTTTTCACACACTTCTCGGGCACCATAGTTAATAAGTAAAGGTTATATTGGATGAACAGAAAGTTTTTGCATATTTTTAACAGCTGTTGTTATTTAACATAGAAGTGTGATTTAATTTTTAACAGTTGTAAAATTTAACACATTATTGCTAATGTGAGATTGTATTCTTTGTTTAAAAGCTTATATTATACTTTTTACTTCACATTTTGTTTGAATAAAATCAAGTTTAAATGTTTTTTGGATAAAAACATATCAATCATATTATGCTTTGAGTTTCAAAAAGACACCTTTTAAATGGTAAAAGAATTTATAGTATATATGGGGAAAATGCTCCTAAAATTTAAACATATCAAATGTGGTTTAAAAATTTGTTAGGAAAACTTTGAATTTAAGGATACAAACTATACAGGCTACCCAAAGCTAGTGACTTAAAAATGCAGGAAGAAATTGTTAAAAGTCTACGAATAACAAACAACCAAATATATAACCAAACACATCAAAAATAAAGCAAAAAAAGCACTGAAAACATGATTGTAATGCAAGAGCAAGATCATAGATGACTTTGGAACACAACAGATGGTATTTATGCTTAGAGTGCATTTTTTCACTGAACATGCAGTTTGAATTTTGAAGCATTGTTTGAATGTCAAGGCAAATTTGTTTTCAGTTTAGCATTTGAAATTAAAGTCATTTAAAGTATAAAGTATCACTTTAGTTCATTTTATAATTATGACTAAAAGTTAATTAATTTTTAAAAAATTTAAACAAAACAAATATGAAATTTTAGTCTTTTTGTAAGGTGTAGATAGTNCAGATATCAGCATTAATCCTTTTTTTCAGAATAAAACATATCTTGCCGAGTTTCTTGGTGTTCTTCATTCAAGAGTTCTTGGCGTTCTTCTGTCATTAGATCCATTTCAGGTTCCATTATGAATTCTTCGATGTTCTTTATTTCTCAGATGTGATTTTTGTTACTCCTTTAGCTACTTGAGTCTTGATTATACAGTATTTTTCTTAAATAAGATTGTACTGTGGCCTACTGTAGACCTGTTCAAGCCATACTGCCCGGCAACATCAGACATCTTCTGTTCACTCTCTCTCTACCTTTGGTATTATACTCTCACCTTTCGAAAATAAAAACCGACCCAAAACTTAATGAGTGCCTACCCGACAGTCTCATGAATACATAAAAGAATTGTTTTGTCAGAAAAATAAAAGGCTGGAATTACAAGGGAGAGTTTCAAAGTTTGGAGGAATACTATCCGATCAGTATACACCAGCTTGAGTGCCGATGTCAACATCTCCCACACTCCAAAAAGTTTCGAATTGTTGCCCGAAGACAAGGAAAGACCAATTGGTACTCATTATTTTACGTTGCTTCTTCTTGTGTTCATTTTGTGAGGTGTTTGTTATCTGATCATGTGTTTGTTATCCGAACGTAAAAATCTTTTGCGAAAGTGTTCGTTATTCAATCTGTTTATTAACCAATCACCCACTGTATTTGCATTTATTTGATATTTAGATATTTTAGTTTTTTAATAGAATTAATTATACAAATATATTAGTAAATTTCCAAAACTTTTATTTTATTGCCTAAATAGTATACTTAATTTGAATGTAAACATTAAAATTCTGATATGCTTGTTTTTTATTTAGGAGTAATGTTTCATTTTTACTTGCTTCTTTGCATAGGCAAGTAATTAGTTATATTATCTGTTTTAAATTAAACTTACAGATGATGCAATAAATTCTCATAGAACATTGGAAGATAATATATAATTTTTATGATGAACTCAGGATATTTTTCCTATTATAAATTAGAAGTTCAGACTAGTTACGAAAAATTATTTAATTTTTGAGTTTTTCAATTAATCCTTTTCACGCACCAAAGAAGTACACCTTTTACATTGATATTGAAGAAATCACTTCATAAAAAACAAATAACAATAGGTAAACATTCACATCTTTAAAAATGACCAGATATCAGCCTTTCATTTTAGGTTCTGATGCCTTAACATTAAAAAAATAAAGTAAATCTTCTTCTCAGATGTTGATATGGAGATTTTAGCTCATATAGGCTCTTTCTCCGACAGACATTTGGTTATGATCGCTATGCGACCGATTAGCCAGCCGTATCCGAACGGCCTATACGTGCGCGCGGGAAATAATGCCTTCCGGGAGGACTTTTATGGGGAACTGGCCTCCTATTCAGTCGTTATTGGCAAGGAGAAAACCCGGAAAACTCCAAGCAGCCAGCCTGTCCGATCGCGGCGTGAACCCACGACCGAACGTCCCAGTGTTTAGGGTCTGGTCACCGCTATGAGCGGCAACGGAGACCACTCGCCCACTGGTGGGGGCAAAGTAAATCTTCTCACCCTACTATCAAGTTTTATACAATTTGTATCAGGTTCAAGCCCTCTAGTGGTGGATATGAGTTATCTTTAATTTGCATGTAGTTACAATTTTTATGATGAACTCAGGATATTTTTCCAATTATAAATTAGAAGTTCAGACTACTTACGAAA